TGGGCGGTGTATGGTCCGGCTCTGACGGAAGAGGGTGTGGAGCGGGAGGAATTTGAGTACTACTGGCTCGTAGTGAATACGCGGGTGTTTTTCTGGCCGCACGCGGTGCGATGGAAAGCGGGAGGAGCGGGGGGGGGGAAGAGGAGGAAGATTAAGAGTGTGAATCAGGATGAGTGCCTTGCGCTGTGTCCCGTGGCGGATTACTTGAATCATGCGGGCTCGGGGGTGAGTTGCTTCTGGGTCTGCACGGGTAAGGCTGACGGTTAGGGAGTGTGCGTTTGAGTCGAATCCGCGCGAGTGTCGGATTGTGTGTGATCGCACATACGGTTTGTTTTCCTAGTCATGTTGGCGGGGTAGTGCTAACGGCGAGAAGAAGAGGGCGAGGAGGTCGTTGTATCCTACGGGCCGCATACGAATGCCTTCCTGCTTGTGGAGTACGGCTTCACGCTCAAGCACAACCCGCACGACACACTCTGCCTTGATAGTGTGATATTACCGGGGCTGTCCGAGGAGCAAGAGGAGTGGCTCGAAGCGCATAATTACCTCGGGGGATACGTCCTCTCTTCCTCTGGTTTCTGTTTCCGCACTCAGGTTGCGCTGAGGGCAGATACGGTCGCGTGGGCAAACAGAAAGAACCCATGGAGGGAGCTTACCATTCCTGAGCAGGTTGTGCAGCTGGAAGCTTTCATTGCCGGGGAGGATCCGGATAAGGATTTTTGGGGGAGTGATTTGATCGGTTGCGAGCACGATGTGAAAACCATGACGCTGGATGAGAAGGTGAAGGAGCTCAAGGAGCTCTGGGATGAAGACACGGAGAGAGGGGGGGAGGGAGCGGAGGTACAGGCGAGGGAAGGATTGTGGAGGGGAGCGATGCGGTTGATCGACATGGCAGATGACATTACGAGAACAGAATACGCCGTGTACCGGTTAAAGGAGGAAACACAATAGCTCAAAGACAACCAGCTTCATTCTTCAAGGCGAGGCCGTATCGCTTGCCGTTTTTCTCTCTGGAGCCTTCGGCCTCCTCTGTGAGCAAACAGCAATTCGACCGTGCAAAGGGAAGTGTCTTCCAAACGCAGTAACTCCCAAAGGGGCAAAAAGGACGTTCGGGTGTGATGGTCAATACGGGGGTCGAACCCGCGACCTTGGCGTCTCCCTCGCTTGAGGCGAGATATTAGCACCACGCTCTAACCAACTGAGCTAATCGACCAGTTGAACTGAAGTCATGTGATATGGTGAGTTTCTTTCCTTCTCGAAATATGACGTGGCTACTATCATCCGTTGTTGCCTGCGTTGAGGTGAGAGGGCAGGGGCTGCGGACGGGAAGTGGGAAGTCATGACTGCGAGGCCGACTCATGCCTCGAATAACGCGGCGGTGGCCCTTGCAGATGAAGGCATTCGCACCTGCCTGCTTCATGACAAGCGGTAAGAGTCGAGGAGTCCGCAAGCAGGCACCAGCCGTGCACCGACACCGCGGAAGCCGGACAAACCTCCGCCGAATCAGCTGACAGCCAAAGCACAGGCCTCGCGCCACCGAGTATAAATCGGGCTCTTTTCCCCCTCTCCTCCTCTTCTTCTTTTCTTCATACTTACCTTGTTGGGGCTATCCGCGCTCAAGAATGCGGAAGCCTGCCAGGACCTCCTGCATTGCACAGCGTGGAGAGGTGTTGGTATGAGTCTCCTTCGGGGGCCTCACTGGCATAATTTTTGATGGTCTGCTTTCTTTTCATCGATGTGTTCGCCTTGCGCGGGCTGTTGAGGAAGAGCTTCCGGGTGGTTGTTACAGCTTCCGAATAGCGCGATGCCTTTCGCTACTCTGCGCCGTTTCCTACGAAGTCTAGCTTTATCCTGTTTGTGGCCCAGAGTCTATTGTCCCACCTGATTCTTGACGAGTGATGCTCGTGTGGCGCTCAAGAAGCGAAGTCTCGGAAGTGATATCCACATCTTCAAACTCTCCTATGTCCATGTGCCTTCGATACATCTGCTATCGTTGTCTCCGATACAGCTGCTACCGTGACCGCTGCTCGCCCTATAGCTCCCACAAGTCATCCAAACGCCTCTTCTAACCTTCATCAGTTCCCAGGCACGCCAGGATCCCGCGATATGACGTCCAGCGGATAAACATTGGCACGCTGCCGTCACCTACAACTGGACCTAAACCGAAAGCGGCAATTTGAGAGGCAAAACAATGTTCACTCCAACGGCGGTCCCATGCCGCGAAAACTTCGTCTTCTACCGGTTCACGGCGGAATTGCCTTTGTCGGCCCAATTAAGGGCGTCGCCGTCGCTCCTTCTGCCCTGTGTGCATATCGATGTTCCTCCGCCAGCCGTGCGTACGCGTTCCGCCCGCGTCAGGCTTGAATCGTAATCCGAGTGTTTGACTATTCTCTTGCCCACCGTGAGGACCCGAGTTAGAGTCAAAAGACGATACCGAAGTTTACTGATCATACGAAGTGATATTTTGGCATTTTGGACAACATGAAGCTCTCCCTCACGCGCCCCTTCCGGATCTTCCTCCGGAATCTCTCTCGCGGCCTCCGTACTGCGCGTTCCCATCTCCCCGCCTTGACCTTTATCACGCTGCACTATCTCTACTTCATCCTGACTTGTCTCGTTGGAGCCGTCATCTTCTATCTAACTTCGACACCTCACCGACGTGTCAGTTTCACCGACAGCCTCTTTCTCACTGTGTCAGCCATGTCGTTAACCGGGCTCAACACCATCAACCTCAGCACCCTCAACTCCTTCCAGCAAGCCCTCCTCTTCGTGCTCATCATGCTCGGCTCCGCAATCTTCGTGTCCGGTTTCGTGGTTCACGTTCGTCTACGCGCTTTCGAGGCCACCTTCCAATCCGTGCTTGAGCGCCGCGCCGCCCGCGCGGGTAGGCGCTGGTACCGCTCACGCTCCAGCGTGCAATCCCCTGAGGCAGGCGCGCCCCTCGCATCGAGTAACGAGAAATGGGCCGGGGCAGGCGCACCCCCTGCGTCGAGTAACGAGAAATCGTCCGAGGCGGATCCACTCTCAAAGGTTGACCCATCAAATGTGGACTCGCCAAAGGGTGAAAAGCCCGCGCCGCTCGACAGCATTGACGAAAGTGGATCGTCTGTCGTACCCACGGCCGCACTGCCCGAGACCGAGCGTCCCCCTACCGCTACAGCTGTGACGTTCGCTTCCGACCCGCGCAAGCACCGGGCCGGCGATGAGGGGCTCTGGAAGTCCATGCTCTCGCTAAACGGCGTGGGTGCGTCGGGCGCGCCGATTGCGCGCCTTGCTTCACGAGGTACCTCGCTCGAACTGAGGCGCGAAATATCGACGGAGACGAATGCAGCGGCGCGGGCGCGCTCGGTGCATGTAGCGCGGAACTCAAGTTTTCACCACTTGACGGAGGAGGATCGGATGCGGTTGGGAGGGCGGGAGTATAAGGCTGTTGAAATGCTGGCGTGGCTTGTGCCGGCCTACTTCGTTTTGTGGCAGTTGCTTGGGTGTTTGGCTCTGGGCGGGTATATTGCGGTTTGGAGGCCGAACGTATGTCGGGAAAATGGGCTTGCACCGTGGTAAGTTTTCATTCTGGTTGAGGGAGTTGTGTTCTGGAGTGGTGCTGATGGGCAGGTGGGTCGGCGCTTTCAACGCTGTCTCTGCGTTCAACAACTCCGGCATGAGCTTGCTCGACGCCAACATGGTCGCCTTCAACGATATGCCCTATATCCTGATCACTATGGGCTTGCTCATCCTCGCAGGCAACACCTGTTACCCAATTTTCTTGCGGCTAATCGTTTGGGTGGCGCGGAAGCTGACGCCCGACACCCCGCGTTGGGCAGATACGCGGAGCACGTTACAGTTTCTGCTCGACCATCCGCGCCGGTGTTACACGCACTTGTTTCCCGCTGAGTATACGTGGTGGCTCGGATTGAGCGTCCTGGTGCTCAACGGAATCGACTGCGCGGCGTTCGCGATCCTCAATGCAAGTGTCCTTGATCCTGAGCTGCTCTAACCTAATGGATCTAGATCGGCAACAGAGCCATAACGCACCTTTCCCCCGGCCTGGAGTTTCTGGATGGGCTTTTTCAAGCGCTCGCTGTGCGGCACGGGGGGTTCTATGTCGTGCCTCTGCCCAGCGTGCGGGTTTCCCTGCAGGTCCTCTACGTCATCATGATGTACGTGTCCGCCTTTCCCGTGGCCATCACGATGCGCAACTCGAACGTGTACGAAGAGCGCAGTCTGGGGATTTACGTCGACGACTGCGACTTCGCCGCCCTGGAGCCGGATATGCACCCGTTACGGGGGTGGATGCGGCGGCGCGTGGGCCTGGGCAGTGAGCTGGCGCGCACGAAGCGCGTGTTTGTGCAGCAGCAGCTGCGGGCACAGTTGGCGCATGATATCTGGTGGTTGGTGTTTGCGGTGTTTTTGATCATGGTGGTTGAGGGCGCAAGGTTTGAGCGCGATCCGACTATCTTTTCCGTGTTTAACGTCATTTTCGAAGTCGTATCCGGTCTGTTCCCCTTCTTCGCCCGTTTCGTATCCGCTAATTGGTCAGGGTACGGTAATGTGGGCATCTCGATAGGGCTGCCTGACGAGGCGTATTCGTTCTCGGGGGCGTGGCGGACGCTGAGCAAACTCATCCTGTGTGCAGTTATGCTCCGCGGACGGCATCGGGGCCTCCCTGTTGCCATTGATAAGGCGGTCCTCTTGCCGCGGGATGGCGGCGCATTGGAGGAGGAGGATGCGCAGATTAGGGGGGGGGGCGGAGGTGAGGGGTGATGGGGCGATTGGGAGGTGTCATTTTGGTGTTGGTGGTTGGGGAAAATGGTTTGGGCTGGTTGGATGGGCATATGGTAGACGGATACCAGGATCTTGGGAACAGTTTCTAGTGGTGATTTCGGTTCGGCACGTTCGTTCCTATTGAGAGGGCGTTCATGGAATTCCCAAGGTGTTTACTCCCCATATTTCTGAGCCGCCTGTTGCCTCTAATACTTACCGGTAAAGGAAGTAACCAATCATCTGGTCGATTAGCTCAGTTGGTTAGAGCGTGGTGCTAATAGCTCGTTGCAAGCGAGTTGAGACGCCAAGGTCGCGGGTTCGACCCCCGTATTGACCATCTTTTTGCACTTTGGGACCGGATGGCTAGGTATCCAACCTTTGATGCTAGTTGGGGACCGCTCAGGTCCCTGATGAGGCATGGAAGAGATGGCTCGTCGACGTCAGCGTATGGTCTTTTTACCCCTGAGTTTGGACTCCAGAACCGGGTGATCCCAACCACCCCCTTCCTGCATCGAAAAAAAACTCAAGCACAGCACCGAACGTCGTCATTTTTACAATGCAGATATCTACTCAGCTCTCAGAGAAACTTGAGTCGTTGCTACCGTTCGAGAGACGGAAGGTTTCAAGCTTTCTGTCCGAATTTCAGGATACGAGCAACTGAGACCAGCAGCCACAGACTTTATGCCCCAGCACCGGTACCCGACTCAACAGACGCCCATAGCCATATCCTACTCCAAGCTCTGAATCACGACTTTAATGGCCCCGCTCTTCGGATTCGCCGACGTCTCAAACGCCTCCTTAGCCTGCTCAATATCAAAGCGATGCGTAACGAGCGGCTCCAAGTCCAGGACCTTATTCGCCAGCAGACGAATCGCCGTAGGCCAGGTATTGGCATAGCGGTACTGGAAGCGCAAGTCCACCTCGCGTGTACTGCACCGCATAAACGGGATCTTGATCTCATCGCGCCCCACCCCAATCACAAACACCAGCCCCCCAAACTGCACCGCCTGCACCGCCCCTGCTATACTCGACTCCACCCCCGTGCACTCCATCGCCACCCGCGGCTCCTCCCCGTCCATCAACTCCTTGACCCGTCCCGCAAACTCCTCAGCACTCTGTCCGGGCTGCACTCGCAACACGCGCGCACGCGGAACCGTCTTCGCCGCAAACGCGAGCCGCTCCTCGCTAATATCCGTCATCACGATCGGCGCACACCCAGCCGCCGCCGCACACATCGCAGTCACAAGCCCGATGGGCCCAGCGCCGCACACGAGCACCGCATCGCCGAGGCGCAAGCCCGCGCGCTTAATCCCCGCAAGCGCAACGCTGAGCGGCTCGAGCAGCGCGCCGGCCTCGTAGCTCAGGTTCTCAGGGAGCTTGTGGCACCACTGGGCGGGATGCGTGATGTAGCGGCGCAGCAGGCCGGGGACGGGCGGGGTGGACAGGAAGGCGACGTTCGGGCAGCCGTTGTACCGGCCTGTCAGGCAGGGTTCGCAGGCGAAACATGGGATGTTGGGCTCGATGGCGACGCGGTCGCTCGGTTGCAGGCTAGTAACGGAGGGGTGTACGGCGAGCACTTCACCGGCGGATTCGTGGCCTAGGATGTGCGAATCCTCTACGATCATGGGCCCGATGCGCCCGGCGTGCCAGAAGTGGATATCTGAGCTTAGGGGATTAGTTGGGGCTAAGGGTGCGGTTGGGGACGGACGCACCCGCAAATGCCTGTGCTGCGCACTGCGATGGCGACTTCGCCTTCCTTCAGCGAGGACCCGGAGGAGAGCTCCTCGAGGGAGGGCGAGGCGGGGGCGATCCACAGCTCATGGGCTGGGTTGGTGTAGACGCCGATGTTAGGCTTGGTCGGAGTCGTCATTATGATTGCCCCTGGAAGAAGAAGAAGCAAAGATTGACAGGATTGAAGTTGTCTGGACTGTAGAAAGAGGAGAAGCTGGACGCGAGCTCAAGGTGAAGGTAACGCTGGACCCTTTTAGCTACCCCGCATCCGGGGTAAGCTCCATCAGCGGGGTCGCACCTGGGTCAGATGATATGCATTTTCTGTTTCAATAATGGCGAAAGTGGATAACGCAGCTACTAATGGGGAAAGTTGCCGTGGGGTTGCGTATGGCTCGGCTCGTGTTGGACCCGAACGACCGAAGGGGCCGAAGCCGGCGGGCGGAAGGAGATATCATGTGACGTGGACATGCTGGTGGTTCGGGGTCGGCCTTCGGATACGTGGCCGCAGTCACTTTCAAGGTCTCCTGTCCAGCTACTTTCCGGGCAAACTCGATGTAACAGTTCAGTCAGTGTACAACGTATAGCCGTTCACCTTCCTTGAATTGTTTCCGCCCTTGATCGTGCCAGCTGCCAAACTTCGACCCGGACCTACAACGCACATAGAACCTTGGAGTGGATGTATTGAATTTTCTACGAAACTCCCTCCCTTTGTTTCCGAAGTATCTATGTTAGTTCATTGAGATCTACTACGTATAGAACCCGTTCCCGGTCAGAAAGGCCTGCCCTTTTTCCGGGTAAGACTCATTTCAGTGGGTCGGTATCATTCAGATCTTACTGGACCCTACATGTCATCCATATTCCATCTCCAATTCTCATCCTCTAACATCACTATCGGCCCTCATTATCCCTTATGCGGCCCAGGTACTGGCCCAGGCACTCGTCCCCTACTTTTCCGCTATCACGGACTAATTAAAGAGCTAGTATTTGTTACAGAAATAGAGAAACCGTTACAGACCTAAATTACAGATCTTTGACTGGTCCATGAGAGGGAAAAGTGGGGGACGAGTACCTGGTCGTGTACCTGGGCCAGTATCTGGGCCGTACAAGGGATAATCTTGATAGTGACAGAATTGACGCTATGGGAGTCCCATGGCCCGGAGTCAGCACTAGACCACTTCTTTCCAAGCACGTGTGAATGATATTTGCGCATCCAAAAAGTCAGCCAATTAGTTAAATGAGTATGTGCTAGAATGAATTCCAGGAGCATGGGGATGATGAGAGCCAATAAAGTACCAAGAAGCCCTTGTCAAGGGGCACTGCTTGTAAAATCCTCTAATTTGGTTAGAGAACTTTGAGGACCACGGGGCCGAAGGGCACCGCTTGCACGTTTTGCAAGTATCGTGGGACCACCAGTGATCTGCATAGCACAACTCGGTGCATTGTGATGGGAAACGTGGGGCTAAAATAGCGTACCTGCCCAAGCATATAAAAGAATTTTGGTTGCGGTTCCACTTGTTGTTTGGCGGGAGGTCGGAAAAGCTACAAGATATGCTTGCATCCTCCTAACTGCCGGGCCAGTTAGGAAACAAAAGTTAGTAACGGTTTTTTTTGTGTAAGAAGCTCTGCTTTCCGATTAGTCTGCTAGTTATAAAGACGTCAGCGAGGACACCTGCCATATAAAGATCAAAATTGTCATTTTGAGATCGTGCTGATTGATTAACTATTCCGAAGATACCCCCGGACTCGCATGCACACCCCATCTTAGTTAATATTAATATTAATATAATTTGTGGAGTTGTCGTTGCCATCGCAATACAGAGACACCATGCGGGTGCATTGTGATGATACATTATTCATGAGATCTGACTGTCCGAGAAAAATGGTTGGAACTGTACCTGGTCCAAAGCACTCATACTAAGATTATGCGGCAAATCCAGAAACTGGATAGACCGGAAAGCCAGAAAGCTTGATAATCAACCCAAACTGATTAACCTTTATTCCAGTTAGCGTCTTCTGATTGGCAGGGAGGGCTTGATATTAGCAGGTTTTGGATGCTTATGTTTTATAAACAGTTGTCCAAGAAAGTCCGGTGATGAACAGCAAATGATGCATGAGCCGGGCACACACGCGCTAAGGGGTAGGCGTACAGTCTTCTTTTTCTTTTTCTCAAGTTCTAACTGGCTGGGATTGAGATATCTACTTGTCGGTGGTATCTTAATTCTTTTGCGGGTGCTTGGTAGTATTTCCCACTACAAGGACGATGGGTCGCGGGACGGTTGTGCTAGTCCTGTAGGAGTGCACAGGCTAGTAGAGTTGGGAATCCATTGACGGAAACTTAACATAAAGGGAAAGGACGAGTACAATTAACTGAGCATTTTCTATCCCTTAAATGGTCCAGGTACTCGCTATCATGGACCAATGAAAGGGCAAAAATTCGGTTCCGTAAAAGACATGTTACCTTCTGCGAGAAATCTGAGCTCTTTTATTGGTCCAGGATGGCGAGTACCTAGGCCAGTGCCTGGGCCGTATGAGGAATAAGGTATCACTAGCGCTTGGGAAATTATGTGAACACTTCCAAAGGCTTCTGTAAATTAAGAGCAATGTATAGCAAACCCCGGCAGCAATGATGCATGTGGACCACGGAATGGGTGACGACTAAACATGTGCCTTACACATTTCAACTACAGAGATATTCCAAGCACGCATCATACATTGCCCCTAAGCCACCACAAAGCTTACGGCCCGCAACCGAAACCCCCCAGGAACTCCAAGAGGGCCGGAAAAGCTCAATACAACGGAGGTCACAGACCTCACCACACGACACCACGCAGCCGAAACCCAATCCCCGTCCTCAGGGTCAACACCGTCCCCCAACCCAGCAGCAAACCCCCCGAAGTGCCCTTTCCCCAACCACAAACACAGCATACTAGGACAGCATAACACTAGGAGTAGCAACAACACCAGTCTACCCACACGTGATGAAGAGCGGATTCAACACCACTATTGCTACCAGGAACCGGATCTCCGCCAAAGGGGAGCCGCCGCGGCCCCCCCTGGCGGCCTCCGGACACCACCTGGCATTCTTAAATATCCTTCCTCTCCTTCTCTCTTTCGATCACATGACCTAGAATCACGGGATCTGCGTTGCTGTAGGCGTTCGGCGTTTTTGGGGTTTAATTGGGATATGGAGTTTTTCTCAGTTTCTCGGCGTGCAGCCAAGTTCTCGCTTGGGACACACAAGAATGGTGCAAAGAAAAGACGATAAACACATGTAAAAGGCGTGGGGCTCACATGCCCCTCTCCAAAGGACGACTTCCAGGGCTTTTCCTCAACCCTTCCAGGGAGGGTTTTTGCCGTGTAGGACCAAAGAAATTGGTCAAACCCACTCCTAAAGTGGTGAGACCCGACCATACGGCTAGCTAAAACAAGCCTGGGCTATTATTATCATTATTATTATTATTATGTAAGGTCCGTATTCCAATTTTTGGGCATTGGAGTAGGGCTTTTAAAATTACACGTCACACAAGTCCCGCAGGCAAAGCCATACGTGCAAGGACTTTATATTACCCTTAATATCTAGTCTTCGTTGAACGCATCCGGGGTCCG